ATAGGTGGACACAGCTATTCCAACAACAAAGCAACTTCCATTTCCTGGAAGCTTGATTCTCAGGGAGACTGGGATCAATCTGTTCAATGTCCTGGTTTGCTGCCCTCCCATGAGAATGAAACCAATTCTGTGAAGTTCTGCAGAGTTTGTTCAACGTACACTTATCACTGTTAGCAGGCACACTTTGGCAGCAAAAAGCATTTTGCCCTTTTGAGGTAACCAATCATTGTCTATTCATAGAACACCTTATTGTTCTTAAAATGCAAGGGGTGACACGCAGTTTCATCTGTTAGGTAGATCTAATCCTGGATAGGAGACCACCAGAGCTGACTCTAATCTCAGAAATAGTGGTGTAAATACAAGATTAATCGATGGAGGTAGTCTGAATTTACAGACTGCAAATGAATGCAAACACCATGATCAGAAATGAAACTGAAACATTCGTTTTACGGAAAATTCAGTGAACTCTGCCAAAAACACCCCACCCTGTAATCTAACGTCTTAACACTGCACTCCCAACAGAAAGTTCCTGCACAGTTCCCACAGCCACATCCATCTACCTTCCAAGAACGGCGAAACAAACTAATCTTAATTTTGCTGCCACAGAACTCGGAGCAAAGCCAAGCCATAACCAGACAACTCTCCGTGTAGGAGACATTGTTCACATACAACGCAACACCCCGTCACCAAGCACTCACCCAACATACACGACGACCGCTAGATGACAGATCCATTTACAGAACGCATATTTATGACTCTGATAGTCGACATCTTTCGAGGAGCTGTAGCTACCCAGACACTCTGGAAAGCCACATGCCCCCATTGCTGGCACCTGGAGAGAGCCAGGCTTTTGAAAAGTGCAGCTGCCTCGTGCTGTCCCCTTCCAGCCTTCTCAGGCCAACCCACTTAAAGGCACAGTCAGAAACCGGCACGATAGGGTGGTGCTAAGAGAGAAAGTCCCGGGCCCTCGAAAGCAAGGCAGCAAGGACTGTTATTAACCAAAAATATAAAATTAACAAAAGGAAATAAGAGAAAGGGTGCCAGACACTACTTACCCATATACAGAGAGAAAGGGACAAATTAACTTCTGTTTTAGCTTCTTTAAAATAGGAAAAATCTGCTAAGAATTAGTCTGGCTCAGTTTTTTTGAGAGGAAAACAAGCTCTTTACAGACACCCACGTGGATATGCAACAAAGGCAGTTTTCTTTTTTGAATTCCCTTTGACTGAACATCACAGCTGTACTTTAAATTTTTGAATTCAGTCTTTTTTTTTTTTTTCCAAAAAGAAAAATCAAATGTCAGATGCACTAATACAGCCATTATGTTCCTCAACTACCACAGCTTTTCAGAGCCAAAAAGTTCTGGGCTGGAAAAAAAGGAGATAATTTCCTGCTAATTTCTCAAGTCCAACTTGTCAGTGTCTGCTAGGGAATTTGCTTTCACGGAACGAATCCAGACATTGCAGGCATTAATTGAAAGCTCTTGGTTTGCTGAGCAGCAACTCTGAGGTAGTAAATACTTTCAAAGCACCCTGCTCTGACCCGAAGAGATCCAGAGGGCATTTTGTATTGCACAGGATCAGACTCCCCTCCTTCACAGTATGTTTAAGAGGCCTGAATCTACAGTGTGAATTCAGCACATATGTTTCAAAACACTTCAGGGGGAGCAGGATTAGTGCTCACATCAAAACAGTCACAGTCAGACCACAGCGCTGTTAGCTCAGGCCACTTACTGTCTCCAAGAGAGGCCATAAATGGAGGCCTAGAGAAGAAAATGAGGACAAAGAAAGCATGTAATTCTTCCCCCAAACAGTCTCTCAGACTCAATAATCTCCCAGAAGCTCAAGGACATCCCGAGTCAGACAGGTCTTTTTTTGCACATTCAGTAATGTTCAACAGACTACTGTTCCATGAATCTAACTCAGTCTTCTCAGGTAAAAATTCTGCCTCTGCAAAATGCTGCAAGGAGCTCTACAGCTAACTCCACACTGCATGAAGACTCACTTCCTTTGCTTTCTTCACAGAAAGAGCACCAAATGTCACTTTGGAGCCCCAGAGCTTATCACTGTGCATTGCTCATCACTTTCTGTTGATGGCACCATCCTTCAAACTCAGCAGCACCACCTCCAAACACCACCACCAGCGCTCAATCTTTCCACTCCTGTAAAGTCCTAATCACTGAAGGCCTGAAGATACAGAGAAAAGAGAAAAAGAAAGACACTATCCATTTTTGCCTTGAGGATTACTGTGCAGCCTTCACCTCGCTTCTGTTCCCAGTGCCTCTTACTCATTATCTCTAAAATGATGCGATCGTTTATAACCCAAGGCACACTGTGGGTCCATCACTGAGGCTTACAAAAAGAGCTGGGTGACCTCAGCCACCACAGATGCCACCCTGCTGACTCCCTTGTCCACATTTCAAAGGAGAAGCAAAGAGCTAGAGGAACATCAAGGTGGAACAGGCTGCTCAGACCTGCAGCTCCTGGAAGAGCAGCAGTACAGGAAGGTCATGAGGCTCCTGCCCATGGTGTTCAGGCTGCAGTGCAGCCCTTTTCCTCGTCATAAAAATAAACTAGGCATTTAAAACATATAACCTTTCACCTTTTCCAGCCCCACAAAAGCTGAGCACTGTGCCGCGTCTGCTGCCGTTCAAGTTTCCAGGAGAGGGCAGCGCTACATCAATGCACGGGCAAATACCTCATCACGGGGCAGTCTCCTCGGGCCTCAACCTGCTTGCAATGAACATTGAACAAAGCTCTTGCTTTGAACATCACCCGCAGCAAAGGGACTCCTCTGTGCTCTGTCAGTCTGAAGCAATGCTGGGGAAACTGCAGAGATGCGTTTGAGAAGACAGAAACTGATATCACTCTGGTCTTCTGGGCCTGGCTCCTCACTGCCCAACACCATGCACCAGGGCAAAGAAGGTGCAACACACTCCCAGAATGGACAGATTCATGTGACAGCCACTTTGCACAGGTGCCAATGGCCATGTAAGGAGCAGGGCTATGCTAAAACTTTCAGATACCTATGGCCCTGGAGGAGGTCTTTACCTCACTTTGTTTGGGACACCATTCTGTTGGATCTCAGAATGGTTCTGTGCCTTCTGCATCAGCAATAAACGAGAGAACAGCTGGGTGAGGCAGTCACTGCTCCTCTAAACAGAGCCAGTACGTGGAACATACTTTGGCTGCAGCCTCTTTTCTATAGTTTCACGCACCAGGCAGAGCTGGACAGCGTGCTGCAGCCAACTATTTGCATCTGATCAAGGGAGCTGCTGTGAGGCCACCATACAACAATGCAAACACAGGAGATTTAGGTGGGCTGTCTGGGTGGGAGCTGTAAATCTCAGCCTCACAGTATGTAAGACAAGAAGCTTAGATCAGAATTCATTTGACTCACAATAAAAGGATCAGGATCCTTTTGCTTGCAACAGAAGACCCACACAAAGGCACAAAATAAACAAAACCCACAAAACAGAGATAATACTTTCTTTCCAGTACTAAACTGCTTTAAGTTACTTAAAATGCTACCTAGGGCTACAACAATGACAAAAAGTTCAGGACAAGAAGGGCTTTTTATCCGTCAGCATCATCCTAAATGCTCCAGCACTCAAGAACAGGTCATCTTCTGATACAAACCAGCTAAAGTGTTTCCAGATATCACCGGTCATTCTGTTGCTGACTGCTATAGCTGATACTACTGACACTTCAGTAAACGCAAGGAAACAGCTGATACAGAATAACAGCTGGAAAAGTACCGTTGGGACGAACCTGAGGTAGGCCTGGGCTGCATTTAGGTGCCAGGAGAGCTGCAAAGAAATTGATTTTTAATATAACCCAGTCAGACTTAAATACATACAACCCATTATTCATAATAAGAGGGAAAAAAAAAAAAAGAACAGGACTCAGATTGCATAAGAAAGGCAGATATAAGTGTTATCTTCTCTTCTTAAATGTGCCACTTTTCACATTAACATCTTCCATCTGTTTGGGATCTGACCTCAGCAGCTAGGCCAGGCGCATTCATCTTCTTGCCCATGGATGTTCCCATATAAGGTGATCTCTCCTTGCACATGGAGAATGATTTCAATTTGCTCAGGTTTCTTCCACTCTGATTTGCTGGCCTCTACGGCTGAGCTCCCCTCACAGTTTTGCAAGGCAGTCATCCACGCAGCAGTAGTTATAGCAGGAGGAGGAAGTCAGAAGGGAGCAGTGAAGTCAAGCCTGAAGATCTAAAGAGCTCTGGAGGTTTATTTGCAGACTCCATTCTCCTTCTTCCTTCAGATGCCTCTGGATGACAGTTTTTCAATAAGTACTTTCCATGAGTCTTTCTTAAGCAATTTAAAACATAAGCGCAATGTCAAGTTTATCTCCACCTTAAGCTATACGGCTGAACTGTCATAATAGCTCTCATGTCATTAGGAAACTTTGAAACACTACTGTCACTCCCCACGGCAGCTAATTTGGCAATTTGGAAAACATCCCAGAATAATGCAACAAATATATATGTGAACACTCTATTCTTTAAGACTTGATCCAGATACCACATCAACTCATGTAAGACAGCACGGGTTGTGCTACAGGATCCTCCATGCTTTCATTGATTCAGAAAGCCCCATGGAGTTGGGTTCTGATGTGCGATTTCCCTCCTACCTTTAATCACTAGAGCTTTCGAACAGGCTTTTGGCAGCAGCAAGGCAGAGCGCAGCTAGCCCGGGTCTAGTGACTTCTGGTCTTCAGAGTCTGCTTCCCCTCTACAGGGTCAAAACAATTTGATCTCCTGGGTTTCCACCAGGACAGAGTAAAACAACCACTTGATCTTTTATTTCTTATTATTATCCTGGCATTTGCTAAGGTGTTCAAATGGCCTTCCTTTCCTTTACCTGCTGCCTCTGTAAAGTTAAGGAGACACAAAAAGAAAGAAAAGGTCCTTTAGAGGGTGTGAGGCCTGAAATAGTCTGATGTAAAGGAGAATCTCAAAGCAGCATCTTCCCAATTCCCAGCTCAGACCTCTCCCCTGTGCTGAGAACT